TGGGTATGGGTAAAACCCGAACTACTTTGGGTAGGATAACGGATATGCACTTTCCGCCCCCGACCCGACCCATTGCCATCCTCTCTGCAACCCAAACGTCACAACTTTTTTTTTATTACACATATGTCGGCCGCGGTGAACCATTCACCGCGATTGTCAGTCGCGGTGATGTTAGTCACTGTGTTTGACGGTCACGGTGAAGTCCAAACATGTGTAGATTGGGAATACTTCATAAAGTGTGTGTATTTTGGGAATTCTTTTTAAGAGCGAATATACTTTTGGATTTTTTTCCTGTCTATTATTCCATTTAAAGTAGTTCAGGTTTTACTTTCGAATGGTGAATATCTGGATGGCATTGGGTCGGGGCAGATAGTCTATGTTTACTATTCCGTTTAAGGTAGTTCAGCTTTTACACTTACTCATATTGGGTTTCAAATATCCATAGATGATAATTTTTCTTTATAACTTCAAGAAATATGTTAAAAATTACACGTATATCGACATTGCATAAGTGAAAAGTACAACAATAAAATACTAGAACGAGAAAAATTAGATAAAGAGTGAAGAATAAAGACTTTCTAAATAAAATATATGCGCATATGTATTATCGGACTGGCTCGAGCTAGACAGTGAAAAAATCATACCCACTCGATTCTCAAATATTTGAATTCGAGTTCTACCGATACCCATAAAATAAACTCTTTCACATGGGTTTTACCCTTACCATCCATAGTATCCTACACAATTACCGAATTCACTAAAAATTATTTCAATTGCCATTTTATAACCTTGCCCAATTCACATTCAAACTATCCATGAATCTAGTAATCTCAATCTTTACCCTTATCTCTTTTCATGCGGTAGCTCCAAATCGGGTGACCAGGGTTATTATAGAGTCGTGAAGTATGATCACTTTTCGTAAAGAATATTTTCACCCTCTTGAAAGCCTTGGATTACAGGAAATTTCTTCGTAGTATAAAACTATCACCACTTTAGGTTCTAGATTTACGAACGGCAAAACATACTTAGAAGCCTTTAGAAGAAAGAAGAAGAATATGTGTTTGATGGTGTGTGACATCATCCATCCCACACATATATTTATAGGGGCCGAATCCATGCATTGTTTCAAGAAATTAGTTTGCCTTTATCCATATGAAATGTTGCCTTTATCCATTCCAAAGGTTGTCCTGATCCATAAATTTGTCATTATCCATAAAGTCAGCCTTATCCATAAGAATCGTTCTTATCCATAAGTTTCATCCTTATCCATAAAATCAACCGTCACTAGGCCAAAGGGATATGTCCCTTCATGGAACTGGAATATTGATTAAAACTGTGTAACAATCTAATCTCGTCTTTGATTGTGGGTATGTCCAATCTAGTTTATAAAAATTGGATCAATCAGATCCAGTTTAAGATATATATAGTTTCTATTAGGATTGTTTCCCAGCCCTAGTTCCTACATAAACAATTGATCCTTTTCCCAATAGAAACTATATATATCTTCTGACACTTTCTATTTTGCTTCCACCTGTACATTATTTTTCTATGATCTTTTATCCTCTCTTTTTTTCCCCGTTGTGCTGTGACCATATAAAATTTATGAACCTGTGTTGTTGTTGCAGAAATATCTGCAGCTATGGTGTCTACAGACTACAATCTACAAACCACAATTCTGTCGACGATGGATATATTTTCCTCACAAGTTCTTTCTGTAGGTGGGGCATATCCACCATGCAGGCATGCACCTTCCACGATGGAGACATATTAACTGGTTCAAGTGTGTGTCTTTGGCAATTGGCATCCGGCTGTGCATAAGATAGATCAGTGGATAATTGACTAGGAGCATTTCTAAGGTCGTATGCGATCGCCAAATATCTTTATGAGTACTGAAGGTGGATAACATATGTATAGAGAACAGAGTTGCGATATATGGTTGAACTAGTTGATGGCATGTCTTAGCTTTCTGTTTTGTTCTTCTTGGGGGCACCACAATGGTTGCTTCCTTTCGTTGTATCGGATTATGAATCGTGATTTGTGATTCTCTGATTCAACTAAAAAAAGAGATCAAGAAAGTTGAAAATAAAAAATGGGTGATCTATCCATAATCAGGATGAAGTTTGAGTGAAACTAATTGAGTGGAGGTAGAAACGTGTTTAGTTACTTTTTGGGGCTCAGAAATAGAAACATGTTTAGTTACTTCTTTATGGGCGTAAAGTGGTTGTTTTTATTGACGTAAAGAATTTGATGAAAATTGGAAACAGAAAATAATACCAAACACATATTAAATTTGTGGGGGATTTTTGCAGGGGGTGGGTGTCAATTTTTTGGCAAAAATTAGAGTATTAATATCCAATTTATTAGTATGGTGCAAACACTAAATTCAGTCAATATGAATATTGTCGTTTTGATGGCTTTTTATTCAAAAAGGTTCACCACAATTAGTGGTGATTTAAAAAGGGAGGGACAAACTTGTCATTATGAAATATAGGGCGACACACACATGTGGCTATACTCGTCTGCACGTTTATTTCGCGTCTCACGTCTCAGCACAAGTATCATTAATCAGACCAAAAAATATTAACGAGAAACATACCACACAATAAAATAGTATGAAATTTACTAGAAAGCATATAGAGAGAACCATAACTTCACCACACCATAAAATTCATAAAGCATAGCAGCAAACTCGATGCATATCAAAAGTTCCCTTAAGCAGACGAGAAACCTGATAAAGTATACCACAAATTTCCTGAAACATACTAGATGCCTCATAAAGTGTACCACAAGTTCCATGAATCATAGCAGAACCTTATAAAGTTACCACAAGTTCTATGAAGCAGACCACACGCCATATAAAGAGACGACAAGTTCCCTTAAGCATACCAAAAACCTCATAAAGCAGACCACAAGTTCCCTGAAGCAGATAAGAAACCTCATAAAGCATACGACAAGTTTCCTGAAGCAGACCAGAAACCTCATAAAGCATACCACAACACCCTTGAAGCAAACCACAAATAATATAAAGCATAGCACAAGTTCCATGAAGTATACTATAAAACCTCATAAAGTTACCACAAGTTTTATGAAGCATACCACAAGTCTCATAAAATGAGCACAAGTTTCTTGAAGCATACCAGAAACTTGTAAAGTAGACGACAAGTTCCCAGAGGCCAGAAGCATACCACAAACCTTATAAAGCATACCACAAGTTTCCTGAAGCGGACCAAAAACCTCATAAGCATACCACAATTTCTTTGAATCGAACTAGAACCCTCATAAAAGCGGACCACAAGTTTATTAAAGCATACCACAAAGTTCTTAAAATATACCAAAATCCTCACAAATCAGACCACAAGTTTCTTAAACTAGACTAGAAATCCAGCAATTGAACTCTGTCGAGCATGTAGGCTCGTTTGCTTGTTGCATTTGAAAACGAGGATTTGAGTTTTAAAACCTTTGAAATATTCCCATGCACCCACCCATCCGAAACTACAGTACATTCGGGAAGAAAATTGGACGGGCCATTCAACCCTACAACTTTCACGATTGAATTTTGAGGGAGAAAAAGAAACCGTGTGGGGCTTTGTTCAGGAACCCACATGGAATGCACATAAACGAAAACCCACCTTGCTGCTGAGAGCTCTCTCCACCTCTCTTGTTGGGCCATATTCTTCTCTAACTTGGATGAATGTATTGGCCCAGTCCATGTGCCATACTGCCTCTAAAACACTGCAATCCTCTGCCTAAATCCTACTGTCAGTAATGGGACGGGATGAGTATCTCAATATCTTATTATGACCACTCTATACTAAGGGGTCGTTTGGAGAATATGAGTTTAAATCTACCGATTGCCAACAATCTAAAAATTCTAACTCTTCGGATTGTTGAAAACATATTTTAAAATGTTTATTGTTTGGTAACTATGATTGTTAACATTCAATAAAAATTTAATATTATATTAAATAATATGTTTATCCTTAATAAAAAAAATTAGAGTGGTTCAAGAAATATTAAAAACTTTGTTGATAAATATATTTCATGTGATAAATAAATAAAAAGAAGAGAAAAACAAGGAGAGAAAGAAAATCTCACGAATCAAGATATAGAATCTCTCTGATTATGAGAGATTTGATATTTGCAGATTTTAGAGATTTGAAATCTCTAAAGCTAGAATCCACAATACAAAAAGCAACAAAAAAACATAACTTTCTATAAAATCTACGGATCAGTAAATCCACGTCTTGAATCCTGTTCTCCAAACGACCCCTGAGTGTAGGTCAGATTAGGTAATGACGGTACAGGTATGCGGTGAGGCGAGTCGGCCGGTTCTCATATATTAATTGGAGAAAAAAACGTCGATATTTAACTCTTCTACAAGAAGATACATAGAGAAAACGCTTCATAAACTAAAGGAAAATATAGCAGCAGATTAGTTGAGTG